CCATGACATAGACCATTAGACTGTTGGAGCTGTGGCAGAGTGTGGTGCCAGGGGTTGGTTTGTATGTGTGCAGAAAGAGGCCACATTGCTAATACAGTTATTGACACAAAAATGCATAATATTACAACAATAGAGCAGTATTAAGACAATATTATAGTAAAACATCAAAATACAATCATATTAGTATTGTAAACACTGAACAATTGAGATTAAATATAATAAAACGATGGTGCAGTACCAAGTTGAGTACAGCTGGGGGCAGTATTGGACCATTACAAGGCCCCATTGACTCCCATTACATGAATTTGGAATAAAGTTTAAACATTAACATTTCAAAAACTACAAGTTGTTCAGGCACCAAAAGGCATAAAAATTATTTGGCACAGGACCTTTACAGATAGAAATTACAATGGCAGCTGTAGGACAAAGTTTGCAGGAGGAGTAGCTCAGATATTTTTGTTATTGCATTGGCTGGGTTTTGAACCATGATCTCCCACATGAAAGGCCATGACATAGACCATTAGACCAATGGAGCTGTGACAGAAGGTGGTGGCAGGGGTTATTTTGTATGTGTGCAGAAAGAGGCCACATTGCCAATACATTTATTGATACTAAACTGCATAATATTACAACAATAGAGCAGTGTTAAGACATATTATAGTAAAACATCAAAATACAATCATATTAGTAGTGTAAACACTGAACCATTGAGGTAAAATATTAAAGAACTATGGTACAGTTCCAGGTTGAGTACAGCTGGGGGCAGTATTGGACCATTACAAGGCCCCATTGACTGTCATTATATGAATTTGGAATAAAGTTTAAACATTAATATTTCAAAAACTACAAGTTGTAAAGGTACCAAAAGGCATAGCAAATCATTTTGCACAGGACATTTACAGATAGAAATTACAATGGCAGCTGTAGGACTAAGTATACAGGAGCATTGGACTTGCAGAATGAGCTTTGACCAAGTTCAAATACATTTTCTAAACCAGCTTGTGCCTGTCACATCAGCAGGTGTTTTTACTTACGGTAATTGAGTGACAATATGAAGTTGGAAGAGATTTTTTGTTAAAGTTGCGTTAGCTGGGTTTTGAACCCTGATCTCCCACATGAAAGCCCATGACATAGACCATTAGACCAATGGAACTGTGGCAGAGTGTGGTGCCAGGGGTTGGTTTGTATGTGTGCAGAAAGAGGCCACATTGCCAATACAATTTTTGACACTAAACTGCATAATATTACAACAATAGAGCAGTATTAAGACAATGATATTGTATAGTAAAACATCAAAATACAATCATATTAGTACTGTAAATACTGAACTACTGAGATTAAATATTAAAAAACTATGGTGCAGTACCAGGTTGAGTCCAGCATGGGGCAGTATTGGACCATTACAAGGCCCCATTGACTCCAATTATACGAATTTGGAATAAAGTTTAAACATTAATATTTCAAAAACTACAAGTTGTACAGACACCAAAAAGCATAGACTGCATTTGGCACAGGACCTTTACAGATACAAATTACAATGGCAGCTGTAGGACAAAGTATGCAGGAGGAGTAGCATGGCATGGCGAGGTGGAAGAAGACGGAATAATAATAATAATAATAATAATAATAATAATAATAATAATAATAATAATAATAATAAAGAGAAACAGGAAAACAATGCACACTGATAACTTGTAACATAATTGGTCAATAGTCCTTATTGTCATCCTGGTGTTTGACTTTTCAAATATTCAGTTTCAAATAATATTTTAAACAACAAATTCCTAAAATATATTTATTTTTTGTCTTCGGTACACATCCAGGTTTTCTGATCCAGTGCTTTTATTTTCTTACAGCTCGCATTTGCAAAGCAAACGTATATTTTTGACACCACCTATTTCCGTTTTTAATATATTTGATTGATTTTCTCTGTCCTAATGTCTCTTCTTTTTTTCCCACGCACCAGAGACCAGTAAGGTGGACTATGTGCTGTTCCAGGCAGCCACAGCCGTCATGGAGGCTGTGGTTCGGGAATGGATCCTGCTGGAGAAAACCAGCATTGAATCTCTGCGGGCTTTTCTCCTCACCTATGTCTTACAGAGACCTAAGTAAGTAAGAAAGACAAAAAAGACAGAAGCATCACATTCTTTCACAAAACACCTAAAGCCTGGACACGGACACCTGGGATTTATAAACAACTGGAGGCAGCATAAACATAGATTGGCCTTTTGGGCCATTTTACAAAATTTTGTGACAATGCCTTTTGTGGTTAAACAGAATTATCAGATTTTTTTATGTTAATAGTTTATAAAAACATTAAGGAATAATTTTTTTTATTTTATTAAAACAGTAAGGTGACCTGGAGACGTTCTTTGTTAATAACAAGTTTGCACAAAGATGTTTTATTTGGTCGAAATATAATCTGTTTATTAGCACACTTCATTGTGCGTATGGTCATTTTCTACTGTGCTAAAATATGTGCAGACTGGACTCATTACTCAGCATTTTTTATTACAGTATATGTGAGTATATGTATACAATGGGGTAAGCAGTGAAATCTCTTTTTATGGTGGAATTAACACTAAACTTGTGTCTGTTCTGTATTTAAGCATCTTAACTACGTTATTAGTAGATACAGATCTTGGCATTTATTAACAAATATGAGTCCGGTGCAAGATGAAACAGAAAACTATTCAGAAAAAAGTTCAGGCTATTTTTGCAGGATTATTTTCTCCTGTTTTGTTGTTTGAAAAACACAATTTAAAAAAAGGGCTTCTTAAGTTAAATATTCTGTGTCAGCAAGTTGCTCAGACCAAGATTAAGTGTTCTCTCCATCCAAAATAAGTCTTTTTTGGGGGGTGGGGCCTGAGTTAGTGCCATGAATAAATAACACTAGCTGCGTTTCCATAGCAAATGTGCGCAAAACTTTGTCGATATTCTGTTAATGTCGAAAAAACACAGTTTCGCAACTGTGGTGTTTCCATTAAGTAAGAAATGCTATTAAAGTCACGCGAGAATATGTTTGTTCTCACGATAAGTCAATACAAACATGGCGGCAATGGATGTAAACACATAGCATGTTGCTACCACGACACTAGCGCTCGTCATCAGAGGAGACGTCGGCGTCTTTTATTGAGGCTTTCCAGCAACAAGCCCCTACTTGGGAGCGGCTACGTATGCTGTATTTTTGGGAAATTGTAGTCGGTGGGTTTACTACTTTCTTATACTACTTTTGTGATATTACTAGTACTTCTACTTCCTGTTATCTTCTTCTTCGTCGTCTCTTTCGCCAGTAGAAACAGCTGGTTGTTGATCACGTGACTCCTGTGATGTGAAAAAAGTGTTTCCATTGCAGTTTTGTGAAAAACACCAATTTCAATACGGCCAAAAAACCACCTCATCCTAGCGCAAAAACATTTTGTCGAAAAACGTAATTTTTTTCGAAATTGATGTGTTTCCATTGAGCAAATTTATTTTCGAAATTCTAATTTGCGCATTTTCATGGTCAATGGAAATGCAGCTACTGAGTTGATGGAGTGCAAAGAAAAGTTGCCACTGTAGTCTGTGACAAAACACTCACTTTTCCTCTATTGTTCCCTGCCTGCCCACTCATCATAGTGCTTTTTTTAGGACAATGAGCATCCACTGCAGTGACCAAATGTCTCCCTGTCCCCTGCAGCCTGCAGAAGTATGTCAGAGAGCAGATCCTGCTGGCCGTGGCTGTCATTGTGAAGAGAGGCTCTCTGGACAAAAGCATCAACTGTAAAAGCATTTTTCATGAAGTGGGACAGCTCATCAGCAGCGGGAACCCTACAGTGGTGAGAGACACACCTGACTCCATCGTTTAGTGCTGCTCACGCTTTACTGCACAATCAGTTTTAATTCATGTAAGAACAGGCGAGTTATTGCAATGATCACCAAAGTGAGGCAAAATAATGAAAACTTTTATTTAGAGATTTTTGCTAACATGCAGGACATATTTCATCATCATCATCATCATCATCATCTGCTGGAGGGGCTATGTAACCCCTGGTCAGGAAATGCTTTGGAATCTGACCGCAAAGAAACAGAAAACAGTTTTCTCTGGGTACTCTGGCTTCCTCCCACAGACCAAAAACCTGCATGTTAGGTTAACTGGTAACTCTAAATTATGCTTAGATGCGAGTGACCCRCCAGGTTAAGCTTTGTTTGTTTACTGGTTTACATGCAGAATCTACAGCGGATGCGTCAGAGGRCATTAGGAAGTGATGCAGCGCATCTAGCACGCCATGTTTTGAAGCGTTTTGAGCTTTTGACTTTTGTACAAAGTGGCAGACACTGGARTAGGAAAATCTGAACTTTTGCAGCTCAACATCCAGTGTCAMCCAATCAGAGAGACTCYGCTATGTGACATCGTGGAATGATCTCCTGAATGAAGCTCACTAATCTGAGGCAGTTGGATGCATTCTTGACACTTGGAACGTGTTAAGTCAGAACGTAGCATTTGGGCACAGATATCATAGATTTAGATGTCATATTATTTCATGATATCTTACCCATTATGAATCCTGTCATTGTTTGCTGTTTTTTTTCCTCTGGAATGYGAAAGGCAGTATAGTATGAGTATAAAATATAGTATAATTTACAAAAGGGCTGCGCAGTATATGCAGTAGACGGTAGAAACGGTATGAAGTTGGCCTACGGTAGAAATTTAGCCTCTACTGTCCTGTCGTCATTACGTCATCGCACCTGTGTGAACAGGGCTGYGAGTGCAGAGACAACTGAGCAGGAGTTCGAAATATAATGAAGATATTCTAGAGTTTTAAAACACGTATACAGAATAATAATCCTCAAAAATTTACATCGTGTCGCGGGATCATTTCCTCCCTCCCTCCCTCCCGCTGCATGTCACGCAGAGCGAAGCTTTAACAACTGTCGTTTTTTCACACACAATTGTCGGAGAAAAAAAATGTGTTTTATGTATTGTTACCCACAGAGATTATTAAAAAAAAGACATGGACGTTCGTTCAGTCATAAATCCATCTTGCTAATTTAAAGTCGGCTTCTGCTCTGATGATGAAGATGATGAAGATGAGAGCATAGCAGAGCAGCAGCTGACAAGTTCAGCAGCTGAAGCTCATTGTTTGACAGGCAGATATTAAAGTAAAAATGTTGGGTTTAATTAAGATTACAGTTTTCTGCAAAAAGATGCTCTAAAAATTACATTATCTTAACATTTTATGATAATTTTCTACTGCGATACATACTGTTAGTGTGAAGGGATTAAATTTATACCTTGATATGAATTTGAGGTCATACCGCCCAGCCCTAATATACAATATTTCAATAAATGTCTTGTTTTATTCACAGTATTGGGTTAAGGTAAGTACGTACCAAAAAGAGCAATTCATTGTTTAATTGCTATGTGCAGTGTCTTCACTCAGATATTGTCAGCAAATTAAAACTTAAAGCTTAATTATTCAAGTATTACCATCCTTGTGTTGTAGTTAAATTAATTTATATAGCACATGTAAACATTAGCTTTAAATGTAATTAGATTAAGCTACTTAAACTGAAATAAAAATTAACACACACGTACTCTGTCACTGCCAAGCTAACAATGAAACACCAGCATCAGGCCAGCGACTGACAGGATTAAAGTTACATTTCCTCACTTTGAAGCAGAATAAACTTGGGGACCTTCCCTGCTGATGAGCTCCCTTCATCCTCATCCACGAATCCAACATGTTTTCATTCAGGGGCTGTATTATCACCAAGTCGCTGCCTTACCTCGCCAAATTACTTTTGCAAAGCTTGTTACATATTTGTTAATTWTGTGAAGCATAAAGTGAGAGACATGACATGATGAACCAATAGTGAAATTTGTTGCCAACACTTTTAAAAACTGATTTGGGAGGGCAATGTGGTAGACCAACCCAAATACAGTAGATGTAATTATCTTGTGAATATAAGACTAAAAGAGTTCCCTGATGATTCATTGGCTGAGCATTAAATGTGGACTATTATCAAACGTTTGCTGATATATTCAGCTTTGAGGATCAATCTATGGATCATATTTCAGCCTTCATTGGCTGCATTTGCATATACACTCACCGGCCACTTTATTAGGTACACCACGCTAGTAACGGGTTGGACCCC